TTGGCCTTGAACTTGTGCTCCTTCTGCCCCTACTGCCTCAACCTCCCAAGTCGCTGGAATTACTGACATGCATCACCACACCTAGGAATATTTATAAATTTTGAAAAAGACTATTGCTACAACCATCAGATTTTTTTTTTGTTTCTTTAAAGCCAGTCAAACAAAAAATCAAACTAAAAGAACTCATAAAACAATTATATTAAACCAGTTTAGCCTTTATCAAGTCAATGGCCATAACACAGCTGACTAACAGAATGCCTAGAGCAGCCATTAGAGTATGCTTTCAGATGCACAGGCCACAGTACATCATACAAGTCTCAAGTAATTTTCATAGCTATAAATAGCTCAAGTCAGCCAGAACCTCTCCAGGAGGCCCTCAGAATTAGCACTGTGCAATGTTAGGCTAATCATAGAACAGATCTCTCAAACCAGCCAGATTTCTCTGTACCAATATGCCTGCCTTGCTGGTTGGTACCACAGATTTGCAGAATTTTGACTTCCCTGGCCTCAGAAGAACCTGGACTAGTTTCAAGGAGCCCCCAATGACAAGGAAAAGGAAGGGTGAGGTCTGGTGTGCACTCGTGGGGAGAACTGAAGCCAGGATCAGACTTCAAAGCCCCTGTATTCCAAAAATTCATTTCTTGTCTTCACCAAATGATGGTAAAACAGCCAGTGTCAGCCTGCCACGGAGAGGGAGGCACTGCACAGTGGAGGGATGGTGGTGGTCTCAGCCCTTCCTCTTCTGTCTTCCTGTCTGGGGTCAGAGAACTGAAAGCAGCAGCCATTTTGTGGGCCTGGTCTCCTGCCTGGCTCCTTTCTCTGGAATGCTGATTCTCTTCACATTTCTAGCCTTTAAACTTACCTACATGAGCTCATTCAGATTTGCACCTTGGACATAGCTGCCACATGCTTAGCATGCTACATGAAAGCTGGGGCTGCACCTGGCCTGTGGCTCCCCCAACCAGCCTGGCCTGCTGGCTAAGAGCTGCACCCAGGCCAGCACCAGCAGCAGCCCCACCACCTGCAGGTGGCTCTCCTGCTGCTGCAGTGGATGTGGCTG